ACTTCCTCCATTCCAAGGCACATGAGCCACGCAAGGGATTAAGAGCCAAAAATCTGTGTTCTGAGTGACTGTCCCCTTTTGGGTGGTAAAGCTTGAAGCTGTTAGCAAGCCCTGCCCATTCTGTCTGCTAGGTCAGCCTCCTGTGGGCTATGGAGGTCCAGGAGGCCTCTTAGTAGTCTCATTTGAACAGGAAGAGGCCCCAGGGATGAGTGCACATTTGCATGCGTCTGTGTGTGCCACTGGGACTTTCAGGGCCACTCCACAAAGGTCATTCTCTTGACACCCCCCAGCTTTCTCTCCCTACAACCCCCAGACAATTGGCAGCCTCATTTGCTTAACATTTGCATGCATCCGCATGCCTCTTCGGAGAAACCTTAACATTAATGAGATCCACAGCGTCTTGCCTTCAAATCCCAAGCCATGTAGAACAGGGAACTCCACCCCACAGCTGGCCTCCCTGCTGGGTAAGACCTTCACCACCTAGAATCACAAAGAACCAGGCTGCCCAGGTTCTGGGAGTCCACTGCCATCTGACCACTGCTCTGCCTCCCTCCAGCTTCGGAAGGTACGCGGACTCACCCTGCTTCTAGTCGCCCAAACCTAACCCCCGGCCTATGCACTTGCAGGGGACGCAGAGGAAGCCTGTCCCATTGGGGGTAGCACCATGCCTGGGCATCTCTTTCCATCTCCTTCAGCAGCCAAGAAGATGACGTTCTGACCCTGAGCAGTCGGAAGGATGGCGGTGCCACCCCTGAAGTGGAGGAATGGATGGGACAGGTCTAGGAGAAAGACGGGAGTCCCACGTTGGAGAAAATTGAGTCAGGGGCATCCAGTTGGCATCAACGTTTGAAGTGCAGAGCAACCCACTTGGAGCTTCCAGGGGAACGGTAAGGCTGGCAGCACACGGAGGAGAGGGATGGATGGGATGGGCATGTGGCCGGCAAGGCACAGATGGCACTAAAGGCTGCAGCGGTAAGTGAACTCAGGGCGAGTGCTGGCCAGGCAGGGACTGAGTCCTGGAGAGCTCCCATTTCAAGCCAGCAACCAAAGTTGAGGGACAGCACACAAAACGGGACGCAAACAGGAGAGTGAGTGACCTAGGAGCCAAGAAAGTGGCACTCTCAAGGAAGGAGACAGGGCGTAGGGCGTTACAGAGGCAGGGACGACGGGAAGCTGGCTGCTGTACCAACGTGGGGGTCACTGGTGACCTTGAGAAATGCAGTCAGGGGACGCAGAGGGGAGCTCGCGACTGAGTAGTCAGAACGTGTGAGTAGAGGATGCGGGAGTCTGGACAGGCTTTGCTAGAAAGAGGAGTGATGCAGAGGCCCTGGCTGGAGGGGAACAAAAGAAGAGTCTGGAAAGAAGTAACCGCAGGGCGCTTCCTGATGAAATGGCTTACAGAGAAGGGAACCATATGGCTCAGGAGGAGACACTTGCTGAACAGTGTCTTCAAGCAGGCGAGAGAAGCCTTGTACCCAGGCCGGGGGGTAACCTTAGGCAGGAGGAGGGCAGGGCAGAGGTGCAGAAACAGGAGGATGGGTGAGCTTGGTCCAGGCGACCAAGAGAGCAGAGACTACTGCTTTCTCCAAGGCTTTGGCTGAAAGGGATGTGGGCAAGTAGAATCCAAGTGTGCTGGACAGTCTACACCAACCTGGCACGAGCTACAGTTATCTGAAGAGGCAGCCTCAACTGAGAAAAATCCGTCCGTAAGATCTAGATGTAGAGGCTAGGTGTTGGTGGCACACACCTTTAATCCCAGCACTCGGGAGGCAGAGGCAGGCAGATCTCTGTGAGTTTGAGGCCAGCCTGGTCTACAGAGCAAGCTCCAGGACAGCCTCCAAAACAACTCTGTCTCGGAAAAAGAAATCCAGCTGTAGGACATTTTCTTAATTATGGGTGGTGCCATCCCTGGGTTCTATAAGAAAGCAGGCTGAGCAAGCCATGAGGAGCAAGCCAGTAAGCAGCACTCCTCCACGGCCTCTGCATCAGCTCCTGCCTCCAGGTTCCTGCCCTGTTTGAGTTCCTGTCCTGACTTCCTTCGGTGACAAACAGTGGACGTGTAAGCCAAATAAAGTCTTTCCTCCCCAACTTTCTTTTCAGTCACGGTGTTTCATCACAGCAATAGAAACCGTAACCGACACACCGGGTGAGGGTCAACGAGGAAATCTTGAACAGAACAGGGGGCAGTGGGCTCTGGACCGTGACCTGAGTGCTGGCCAGCTGCAGAGTCAGCTGAAGTTGTGGGTTGGACCTACTGGGAGAGCCGTGGGGGCAGGCTGGGTTCTCCTCAGACTGGAGGGAACCAAACACTGGGTTCTACTAGGGAGAGCGCTCATGGAGTCTGATAGAGCGGCATGAGGTGAGGAACTGGACTCTGGGAAGGAAAGAGTCTCCTGATCCCAGCAGGGACACACTGGCCCCTTGCCCGCTCAAGAGCCCCGGCTGGTGCCTGGAAGCTCACCAGCCACTCCTGCTGCAGGCCGTGTGTGGGCTTCCTTTGCCCTCCCTACAGACAGCTTCAGCAACTTGAGAAGTGGTGTCTTCCACCCGCTTCCTCCCCACACCCAGACCCCACCCACCGTCACCCTTCCCAAGCCACAGGCGGCAGCTCCCTGGCCACCCTCTGCTTCTGATGCTGACCCTCTGCTGCTGGGCTCTCCTCACATCCCTTCCCCAGACCCCTGTCCCAGTGGCTCAACCAGCCACACAACCCACGAGAAGAGCTACACGGAAGCGCATCGCAGTTTCCAAGCATCTTGTACTGGGCCACGTCACAACTTCCTAAATGAGCGTTCACCCAACACGCTACCCAACCGACCCTATTCCTCCTCAGAGAACCTTCCAGTGCGCCCAACACGACCCCCTCACTCACCTCTGTAAAATCCCTCAGGGGTTCCCAATACCCCGGGGGAACAGCCAACTTCAGTCCTTATGATGCACAGGCTGTGTTCTGCATCCTTCTTGCCGCACACACCCCCCACACACACACCCCCCACACACCCCACACACACACACCCCACACACCCTTCACTCCTTTCTCGGGCCTCCTTTCTTCCCTCCTGAGCAGCATCTGCCTCCATCAAGAGGCGGTACACTCTGAGAGCGGCCCAGTCAGAACGGGGTTTGAGCTGTTTTGATGGTACAAAGCTGCACGCCCCTGATGCAGGGATACCCCAGTGGATGAAGCTGTGGGTGTAGGCAAAAGCACAAAGAAAGGATGGAAGCCAATGGACCTTCAGCCCAGTGGCCTCAGGTAACACTGTCTATTGTAAGGTCTGCCCTCTGAGGACGGGACATCGCTTATGGGATATGTCCACAAAGGTTTAATTTGAACCTGATCAGGAACAAGCAAGAAGACAAGGCAGACCATGGAAGATTCTACACAATTCCAAAGAGAGTATAAGGGGAAAAAAAACTTTCTAAGTCAGGTGATTAGCTGAGCATAGTGGAGCTTGCTTGTAATCCCAGCAGATTAAATGTGGAATCACCGGGTGATGGTTTAAAGGCAGTGGTGGCCCACGCCTTTAACCCCAGCACTCAAGAAGCAGAAGTAGGTGGATCTCTGCGAGTCTGAGGCCAGATTGGACTATAGAGCTAGTGAGCTAGTTCCAGAATAGCCAAGGGTACACAGAGAAACCCTGTCTCAAAAAAAAAATGTAGCATCAAGGGGATCAGGAGTTCAAGGCCATCCTTGTGCTACACAATGAGTTTGAGACCAGCATGGGCAGCTTAAGACCCTCCCCATTTCAAAAATGGAAGGGAGAAAAAGTGAGATTAATCAAGAACTAAAACATAACTAAGTATAGTGTACCAAAACTAAATATAGTGTATGTTCCTTGACCAAAAAAAAAATTATAGTCAGATATAGTGTTACACCTTTAATACCAGCACTCATAAGACAGAAGCAAGCAGATCTCTGCGAATTCGAAGCCAGTCTGGTCTACGTAGCAAGATCCAGGACAGCCAGGGCTACACAGAGAGACCCTGTCTCAAAAACCAAATCAAACAAACAAGAAAGAACCATAACAGATACTTACAAAAGATGTTACTAGAGCCACTAGAGAACCTGAATGCAGGCTAAGTGTAAGGGCAAACTAAATCATTACTAAATTTTCAGGTACGATAATAGTGCAACTGTTCTGCAGGGGAAAATAACCCTGACTCGGGGAAACCTGTGTTGAAATAGTTTAAGGGGATGTGTTATAAAGCCTTCAACTTTCAAAAGAGGGGGAGAAAGGGAGGAAGAAGCAGGGCCAGATGTTGGCCCTAGCAAATCTGGGTCTCTGGGCGAAGGGGGTGCAGGTGTATGTGGAGTGACAAGATGGAGAGAGGCAGGAGGGTGAAAGTGTCTGGGAAAGAGGCCCCAGAGAGCACTGCCACAAACTGGGCTTCTCCTGCTTTCCGCAACCCACAAGCCTTGAAGCAAGCTGGGCCGTGGGCTTGCCTTAACCTGAATATACTAGTCACCCAAACATTCGGGCACGACTCGGGAGGACTCACAACCGACAGTGAGCCCGACTCAACTGCGGGTCAAGCTCAGTAAAGAACAGGGCTCCCGGGGCACGACCAGATCCCAGAGAGACCAGCAGGACATACCACAGCCAGGGCAGGATCGCCCCATCATGTCTAGGCAGGAAGCCGGGTGTAGCCCTGAACCCACCCCACCCCCAAACATCCCTTGAGGGGTGACAGTCTGAGTATATCCTCCCATAGAAGGAGCCAGGCTAAATATGGAACCCCAGACACAAGACGCTTCTCAAAACAGATTTTCCTGGAAAAGACCATCTGGCAGAGCAGGTCCACAGCATCATCTGCTGAGAGAGGTAGCTTCAGTCTGAAGGCTGCCCAGAGAAAAATGCCTTCACCTCACCTCCCTGGGAGACCCCAGCGCAGTGCTTCAGTCCCCCCAAAGGTCACTCCATGAAGATGGGGAGGTGCTCGGGCCCACCGCTACCCTGAGCTGTAGTTCCAGAGCAGAAGAGAAGGTGGCTGGGACATACCTCTGGGGACAACGGGTCTGAGCCTCAGAAAGTCCTGCGCAGGTGTGAGTCCCACATCCACAAGATGCTTGAAGAAGACAACTGCTCCCTGGGCCCAGAGGCCTCCTCATCAGAATGGGGCGATAGTGGGCGTCTCCCTCCAAAAACCCACAGGTGTCTGGGGAAGCGGGGCAGTGTGACATTGCCAGGCCTCACGGGGAGCAGGAAGTCATCCCAGCTAGCTACTCTCTCTCCCTTGAGGAATGACCCTAGATCTGCTTGGGACATGTGTCCCCTCCCTGGTGATGAGCAGACGGGGCAAGCCCTCTTAGTCTGGAGCAAGGCGCTGCAGAGCTCCAGGGACAACCCGCCTGAGCATTGAGACCTCAACCCTGCAGGAGGCACCGGCTGAAGAGGCCTTCCAAGAACACCTGTCATGCCTCTGCCTTCAGCTGGGCCACACCTTTACCTACTCACCCCAATGTGTGGGAACCCCCTGAGGGCTCTGGCGATGCCTAAGGGCCTGCTCCTTCTGCCAGGATCAAACACTGTAGAAGCCCTACTCAAAACCCACTGCCTAGCACGGTGCAGCAGGAGAAAGGGCTTTGGGGGGAGGGACGACGACAATGTTCTCCTCCAGACCCCTGAGTGGACAAGGAGAGTGGCTGGCCCATTGTCTTGATTCATAGATCCCAGGCCACAGAACTTCTAGCTTCCTTAGGAGGAAGGCATCTGTCTGGGAATGGAAATGACCCCCCATGCTCCATGCCTCGTCTGGAGGGCACTAGAAAAACCCTAATATTACCCCCAGGCCCACTCTCCTACACCAGCAAACCCAGGGCAGGCTGCTTGGTCTCAGTCACCTCTGCCAGGCTTGTCCTGATCTGACAGGAGGAGTCTTGAGCCCTCTTGCATTTATAACTGTTGCATCTGCCCCCCAGATCTCTTTCTGGTCCCGGCAAGACGGACCTAAGACAAAGGGGTAGACAGTGGGGCAGTGGGCCCAAGGTCTTGTGTAGAAACAATGCCTGGTTCTTATTTCAGAGAGTCCCAGATCCTCCAGGGACTGGAGTCTAGAAGAGAGCCAGATGGATAGGGTGGTCCCCACATCTGGATTCCCTGCCCCACCCGGACCCAGCACCCGGTTCCAAGGACCCCCTGCTCTCAACGCTGCTGGGTAACCGGTCTGTGAGGCCTGCCTGGCCTTGCCTACCGCCTGCCACGCCCCCAAGCGAACCCCTGCTCTTGCAGAGATGGAGAGGCCTGGGCTCCAGGCCTGCCTGTCAAAGTTGGGAAACTGGAAAGAGAAATAAATCCTCAAAGATGTTCCGTTGTGGAGGTAGCTGTGGCAGGCCCCAGCACACAACACCCCAAGCACGGACCACCAAGCTGACACTGGCACCCCACCAATGCACACACTGACACTGATTATTACAAAAGGGGGAGGGGACCGGGAGGCAGAGCCCGGGAGACAATTGGGCCGGCGGCCCCGTCCTCCCTGCAGGCGGGAACCGGGGGTCTCTTGGCGGCACCCCTACTCCCTGGCCCAGTCCTGACCATCTTGGGCTTCCTCTCACTGCCCCATCTCCATGACAACAGCATCCTTTGGATGCTCCGGCCACCACGGAATTGATCTCGAAATGTAGCTTTGTTAGCAGACCCTAGCGGGCAAACAGGGCGGAGGGCGGCTCCCACCACCCAGCCTGCCTTCCTCTCCCCACCCTGGACCCCTTTGCTAGCGTCTAGCTGGCCTCCTGAGGAGAGGGGCGGGGTCCCGGAGCGCGCAGGCCTTGGGGACACAGTTGGCCCGCAGCCCCACTCACCTCTCGGGTCCCAGCCACTGGGGCCCCCTTCTCACGGCGGGGCCATGCGGAAGCCACCCCCGGACCCGCGCGGGTCCCTGCTGCCCGCCTGTTGGAGCTCCCAGCGTCCGCTTCTGTCCCCTCAGGTGTTGGAGCCTCGGCTGTAGAGAGGCTGGGCAGAGAAGGAGGGGACCGACCGCAGGGGGGGAGGGAACAGAGCAGCGAAGCAGGGAGGGAGGGAAGGAGGGAGGGAGGAGCGGGAAGGACGGGAAGGGCGGGTGGGGGGTGGAGGGGCTGCCGGCGCGCGCAGCCCGGAGAGGACGGTGGCCACCGGGAGGGCTCACCCGCGGCGCCGGGCCACGAGCGCGCGACCTTTGTGCGGGGCGCCCACCCCACAGGACGCCACCGCCACCACCCCCCCATCCCGTACCGCCCGCGCTGGACCCTTTAAGAAAGTGGGGGAGGGGGACTTCCACGAGGGCTCCGCCCCCCCTCCTCGCCCGGCCCAGCCTGTGTCCTCGAACCTCCGGTGAACCCAACCACGGGCCCCCAACTGTCCCAGTCCCTTGATTGGAGGCACGGGCCTTGCCCCCACTCCAGAATCCCCGTGCTCATCCTGGGAACTCTTCACCCTGGAGTCTAGCGAGCAAAAGTAGAGAGAGTCACAGAGGGAGATAGGCACCCGGAGGTACAGACAGACCTGGGAATTGAGGCAGAAAGGGGGAGAAGAGGGGGTCCTGCTGCAGATGGAAGTAATGATACGGCCACCTAGGCAAGGGGTGATGAGAGAGCACTAGGATTCATGGATCCCAGGCCACACAACTTCTGGCTTCCTTAGGAGGAAGGCGGCTGTCTGGGAATGGAGGTGACCCCACCCCCCCCCCGCCATGCTCCATGCCTCGTCTGGAGGGCGCTAGGAAAACCCTACTGTTACCCCCAGGCAAACCCAGGGCTTGGTCTTGGTCCTCATCCACCCCAGGACTGTCCGGAGGAGTTTGACCAGACTGTGCCTGGACTCCACACTAAGGGCTTCTTGGCTGTAAACCTCCTGTAAAGCAAGATCTACCTCTCAGAGTGACATAGGGTATTCCAAACCCTAGGGGAGGGGCTGGAGAAGGGAAGGGTGAGAAGGCCCAGGCCTTGGGGGACGGGGACACAGGGACTACCTAACACAGGAGGTCACTTTGCAACTCTCTCTACTTCCGTTTCCAGGTTCTGGTCACCAAACCCACATTCCCCTCCCTCAGGCTTTCCCTGTGTCCTATTTGACTCAAAAAACGATCCTACCACCCAATTCACATGTTAAAAAAATGCTGATGCTCCAAGAGCGGACCTCATTTGCCCCAGGTTTCAGGGGGAATCTAAGGAGCCAGGTGGGCAGCTGAGAGATGGCTTTGAACACAGCTCTCAGACACCCTCTGCAGGCAGGAACCTCAGGTCTTCTCCAGAAGCAGGGACCTGACTCGGCCACTGTCCTGCTGTTTTGAGGAGGTGGCCGCGGCTGGGGCTCAGGAGGAGGTAAGAGGCACCAGCCATTCCTTACTGCACACACACACACACACACACACACACACACACACACACACACACAGGTCACAGCCGGACCGCCTCTCTGGGCTCCCACTCCGTCTCTCCCCATTCCGATGGTGCTAGTCAAGACTGATGGGGCTGGGTAGGGACAAAAGGAGCTGATTGGCTGGGTGCTTGTCCCCGCAGAGCCTGGCACATGGGTACCTTCAGTGGCCACGGCTCTCCTACTGGCAGGGACCAGCTGGCTGGGGCTGGAGATGTGGCTCAGTGGTTAGAGGGCCTTGCCCAGCATCCGAGCATGCCTGAGGCTCTTGTGGAAGAGACTCTTTCACAGAGACCTGTAAGATCAGGGTTAGCTTGCCACAAGTGTCCCCAGTACCCACAGACAGGGCAGGGAGGAATGGCAGGGAGGGAGAGGAGCACGCTGTCCCCCACCTTCCCACGGCCAGGTCCTCCCAGGCCTCCAGCCACGGAGCTGGTTCCCTGGCTCCTCTCCACGGGACGTGGGAGCTCCTTGAACGTTGTCCCTGACAGCCGTCTCCTCTCTCTCTCTCCCTCCCTCTCTCTCTCTCTCTCTCTCTCTCTCTCTCTCTCTCTCTCTCTCTCTCTCTCTCTCTCTCTCTCTCTCTCTCTCAAAAAGACTGTCTATTAGTTACTTCTTCCAAATACCTGACTAAAGCAGCTTGGGGGAAGGGAGGGCTGGTTTGGGCCCTCGAAGTCGATAGGGGAGGACATGCTGCCAGGGGCTTGAGAGTGCTGCCAGGGGCTTGAGGGCTCCGCAGGCCTCAGGAAGGGGAAAGGTGAATGTGGGTGCATTGCTCTCTACCCCTTCCTCCTTCCCAGTTCAGGGTGGCAGCCCGTGGGATGGCATCTTCCACACTTAAGGCGGGCCCTCCACCCCCGCAAACCCAGTCTAGAAATTCCCTCACCAACATACCCAGGGATTTGTCTCCTAGGAGAGTCCAGATCCTGTCCAGATGGATGGCCATCGATATTAACTGACTCCAAGCCAGCTCTTGGCTCCTTCGGCCCTCACGCAATCCACGATGTCTCTCATGAGAACCACCGCTCATGAGACTCGATCACCACCGGTGAGAGTCACCAGCACAGCTCCCAAGTGCAGGCCGGGTGTTGCCCGAGGATACCTGAGCTTGCAGACACCTCAAGGAGCTGGGATTCACCCGCTGTCTTCCCACCATGCTGCTAACCAGGCACAAGGCTACAGATGCCAAGGAAAGACAACATTTCTTGCAGCCCTCGCATGTAGACGCGGTAGGCATGCCTTCTTAACCAGGCCCCCCGCCCGAATCATATTTAAAGACACTAGAGTCTGACTGTAGCCTGGGCCTTGTGGCATTGCCAAGCCCACGTCCAGTGTGCAGACTTCATTCTCTGTAGTGTTTGACACTGCCCTCTGCCTTGGGACTCCGTGCTTTCCTTCCCGGGACTTCCCTAGTCACGCCGCCTAGCCCTCGGCTTTCTCTGGCTCTGTGCTTGGCCCTCCCCATTCTCTACTCCCGGATGATACGACGCGCTTCAAAACCACGCTGAATGCAACGAGAGGCAGCATGTGACTCCCAGGTCAGGCCTAGATGCCGTTGCTGGCTGAGGTTCCTGACTTAACTCAGCCCAGGGGAGTCCCCAGCCCTCTCCATGTTCGTCCACCCATCCAGGTCAAACCAAAGCCATCTTTCACCTTCCTGTGCACGACATCCAATCCCCAGGACAGTCTGGGCCATTCCCACCTATGTCCCAAGCCGACCACTTTGGCCAGGCCCCCGGCCACCACACTAGTTCATCCACCTTCTCTTCCCTGACTGCTGCTGTGGCCCTCATAACTGGTTCCACTCCACGCCCCCCTCAAGCGTTCAAGCACAGCCGCTATGGGAGGGTGGTTATGGGATGGAAGGGCCCCACACTCCTGCTCAAATCCAAGCATCATCTCTGCGGCTCAACCCCACCATCACATGACCTCCAGAGCCCTCCACGCCTCCTTTCCCAGCCTCTTGACCTCTCCTCCCCGGCCACACCCATCCTCTCTTGTCCCAGACGCATTTGACCTCAGGGCCCTTGTATGGGATGTGCCCCCCCCCCGTTACTAAAACACTCCTCCCCCAGAGATCTGCACAGCCCCAGATCTCCTTTCAGCCCCCCATTCCCCCCCACTGCCCCTTCCTCACCACCACCTTCCACCCCCCACTCCTCCCCCACCCACCCCACCCCATCCCCGCTTTCCCTCCGTCCACAACACGGTGTGCACACATTCCGTTCACTAACTCATTCTGGCCGGTCTGTCTCTCCCAGCCGCCGCCTCCTAGACCCCTAGGCTCCATGACAGTTTGAACTGTGTTCTTCTCCTACTTGTATATCCCGGGGAGCTGCTGGATTGGCACCTGACGCCTCACAGGCATTCCGAGGAACGCAGCCGCAGACGAAGATCATCTGGGAATACTAAAGAGGGGTTTTTGGAACAAAACCAGGCATGCAAAAACAAAAAAAAAGGTGTGTGTGTGTGTGTGTGTGTGTGTGTGTGTGTGTGTGTGTGTGTGCGATGGCCCCTGACCTTTGGGTGGGAGCTACTTCAGCAGCTTTGGGGTAACCCTCTCCGGAGATTTCCCTAGACCTGGGAGACACCCCCTCCAGGCTCCAGGGGCTTCCCAGTCACAACTTGCACCTCCATGCTGTTTTGGACAGCTGCTCCTTGGAGCTAGGTCCCTTCTCTCTCTCTCTCCTGAGTCCCCAGATCTACCATGAGCCAAGAACGTACACAACAGAAACCAAACAGTGCTGAACCAAAGAATGAATACTGAGGCCAGGGAGGGACCAGTCCCGTGCATGGGCCAGACAGCGGAGCCCGCAGGTCAGAGGCCTGGGGAGGGAGACACAGAGTCTGGGCTGAGTCCTTGGAACCTCAGAATGTCACCTGGGGATGAGAATACTACCTAAACCATGTGTGGGGAAGAGGAGAGACCCTTCCCTCCAGACAGGCCGTGTCTGGGTGGACAGGCAGCGAGAGGTTGGGGAACGAAATGGGGCGACTAGGGAGGTTGCAGAGCTTCCGTATTTACCCCTCCCCTCCCATAGCAAGCAGTTGCTGCCAGCCCAGAGCCAGGACAGTGGACAAAGCCCTATCGGGGAGGGCCAGGGACTTGCAGTGCCTAGAGCCAGCAGGCCGCGGTCCCAGGGCACAGCGGTGCGTGGCCCAGAACTCCATCTGAGAGCCTTTGTGGGCCTCTGGGAGCCTGCCCAAGAGAGTGCGGGAACTGGCGACGGTGGGATGGGGTGGGAACCCCCTGTTTCCTGGGGGCCATCCAGGGATGAGTAATAAGGGGTTCGAGGAGCAATACCCGGTCCCAGAGCTGCTGGGACTTAGAGTGACCAGAGCCACTCATTCCTGAGTTCAGGGGAAAAGGGTTCCGCTAAGTCAGGCAACGTCTGGCTTAAGGCTGAACCCCCCTATCCCCCCACCTCCAGCTCACTCAAGTAGGACAAGCTGAGGGACACATGACAAGTCGGATCCTGCCCAGGCTGGCTAGGTCCAGACCCGGAGGTTCCCGAGAGAGAGCTAGTTGGCCCTGGAGTGAGTGGGCAGGAGAGGATGGCTCCCTGCTGCCCTCTGCTGGTAGCATCTTGATTTACAGCGCAGCACGTCACTAGGCAGGCTCCTCCAGCCGGCAGCCCGGCATTCTTGAACTAGGAGAGCAGATAGCTGCGCCCAACCTGCAGCCACAGCTGTCTATCGCCAGGTCCCAATTGCTGCTCCTTCGAGAAGTCCTTTATCTAGTTCAACCTGAGTGTTTCCTCAGCTTCGTCCAGGATGTCTCCAAAGATGTCTCTCTTTCACAATACAGATGGAAACGGAAACTCCTAAGTCGTGATGGCTGAAGCCACCTTTTCCGTCTGCCAGCGACCGCCGAGAACAGAGGGAAGTGCAGGCACTTCTCCCCAAGTCCTGATGCATCAGGGAAAGTGTGAATGTCAGTGCCCAGATCTGTCCTGATCAATCCTCCTTGCGCCCAGGAAAAAAGGATTCTTTTGGGGTTGGGCTGCCACCTGCTGGTGCACACAGAAACTGCAACTGCGCCACCAAGCAGAAGCCCTACCCCAGAGAGCACATAAGATAACAAATGTTAACTTTTATTTTGTCCTTGCACAGGGCTCCTGCCAAATTATTTTGAGAGACGAGAATGCAAAGCAGGCTTCCATTTAACCCAGGCTAGCTTCCAACCCGACACTATCCTTAAAGTCTAAGTGCTGAGATTATAGGCATGTGCCACCATGGCCCAGCACTCCTGTCAAGTCATCCAAACTGGTCAACCCATTCCACTTTCTCCGAATGAGGTGAACATTATTCACGTCACCCCCACCTTTAAGGACACTGTTGCTTACTGACAGTTCTGTTTCATTTGGTTTTCTATTGGGGGCTCTAGGTAACATCTCATGATACATGCTAACTGGTAGTGCCACAACCTTGATCGTATTGCTGACCGTTAAGTGACTTGCACAGCCTCTCTTCCCGGACACTAGCACCTGAGCTGAAGTTGGGGATCTCCCAGTCTGACCCGCTTACCATGCTGACGTAAGTGCTGACATCCAGGATGTATCTGGCGTGATGCTTAGTTAAGCCCGCAAAAATGCTGAGCTCTCTGGTGGTTGGCCGCCACACCTTTAATCCCAGCACTAGAGAGGATTATAAGGCAGGAGCTAAGAGTGCAGTCTGAGTTTTGGTGGGGAGCATTGCAATCTGCAGTCACGCTGAGAACAGGATCACCCTCCTCTCCTTTGGTTTTAGCCTTGGCAGAAGTAAGAACTCTTTAGTGGCGTGGATGCTTTGCTCTTCTGATCTTCAGTTTGAACCCCAATATCTGTCTCTAGGTTTGTGTTATCCATGCTACACAAATGACCATTGTCTTAGTTAGGGTTTTTGTTGTTGTTGTTGTTGGATTTTGTTATTGGTGTTGTGTTTTTATTTTTATGGTTCATTGGGGGTTTACAAGACAAGGTTTCTCTGTATAACAGTCCTGCCTGTCCTGAACTGTCCTGGACAGTCCTGGCTGTCCTGTTTTGGTATACCACGCCAGCCTCGAACTCACTGAGAGCCACCTGCCTCTGCCTCCCAAGTGCTGGGATTAAAGGTGTGTGCCACCACCTCCTGGCATGAGTTAGGGTTTTTATTACCATGAAGAGACACCAGGACCACAGCTATTCTCATAAATGAAAACACTTAATTGGGGTAGCTCACTTACAGTTTCAAAGGTTCAGTACATTATCATTATGGTGGGGACCATAGTGGTGTCCAGGTAGACATGGTGCCGGAGTAATAGCTGAAAGTCCCACATCTTGCGGGCAACAGGAAGTTGACTGAGATACTGGGCAGTATCTTGGGCATACGAAACCTCAAAGCCCACCGCCACAGTGACACACTTCCTCTAACAAGACCACACCAACTCCAGCAAATTCTCACCTCTTAATGTTTCCTCCACTCCCTATGAGATTATGGGGGTCAATTACATTCAAACTTCCACAGCCATCAAACTGCCATATTAGACATTGAACTCAAACTCATTTTTAGATTAAAGAATCCTAAACTATCATATAGTCTCCATTCCATTATCTGTTTAATAAACATATATTGATCCCAATTGTAGATGCCCCATATCAGGACACAAGGCAGACATTAACCTTCACCCTTCTTGAGGCTGAGGATTTACTAATTCACGGGGGATGTTCTTCTGTAGGCTGTGAATATATGTTTCTCTTGTTGGTTGATGAATAAAGCTATTTTGGGCAATGGACAGACAGGATGCAGCCAGGCAGGAAGTATAGGCGGGGCTTCCAGACTAGGAGAATGCTGGGAAGAGGAATGTGGAGAGTGAGTCTTGATCCCTTGTAGCTGCCAAGGGATCAAGAAGTCTGGGCATCACTGGTGCCCAGACCACATGGAGATGGAGATACACAGATTGATAGAAATGGGTTAATAATTAAGAGAGAGTCGGCCAATAAGAAACCTGAGCCATGGACCAAACAGTGTATAATTAATATAAGCCTTTGTGTGTTTATTTGGGAATAAATGGCAGTTGGTCAGGATAGGACAGAAACTTCTGTCCACAGTTAGTAGCTCAGTTGGTAGTAGAGTTGGGTCCAGAACTCCAACACTGCATAAGACCAAGCATCCCAGCACTCTGGAGGTGCAGGCAACAGGATCAGAAGTTAAGGTCATTCCCAGCCACACAGACAGTTAGAGACAGCCTGTACTACTCGAGATCCTGAAGAAAAGGGACAGGGATGGGCACAAAGAAACAAAGGTCGTGCTGCACACCTTTAATCCCAGCACTGGGGAGGCAGAGGCAGGCGGATCTCTGAGCTCAAGGCCAGAGTGGTCTACAGAGTGAGTTCCAGGACAGCCAGGGCTGTTACACAGAGAAACCCTGTCTCGAAAAAAGAAAAGAAGGAAAAGTAACTCCCTTTAGGTCCAACCTTGGTGATAGGTGCCTTTATCCAATCTGTGATGGACACTTGGGAGGCAGAGACAGGCAGGTCTCTGTGGGTTCGAGGCCAGCCTAGTTTGCATAGTGAGTTCCACGTCAGCCAGGTTTACCAAGTGACACCCTGCCTCAATAAATTAATGAATAAATAAATAATCAATTACTTCCGGCTCTCTTCCCAATAGGAGGCGGAGAGGGAAGAAGCAATAGACATGATAGGCTATGGATAACTATAATATTGTCAACAGTGGTAACAGGGAGGAAGAGAGGAAATCAGAAGGCCTGGGGTATGGCTCAGTGGAAGGATGGGGGATAAGGACGGCCAAGGATGGGGAATGGGGATAGCCTGCAAGGTAAGGGGGGGGTGACTCTAGGGGCTGGACTCAGGTGAGAGGAGCTAAGGCATGGTGGACACTCCATCACCAGGGCCCAAGGGAGGCAGCCATGGGCACAGACCTTCCCCAGGTGTACCCTGGGGGATCTCTCAGGCCATCAAACTAGACCACAGGCAGAAGTGGGAGCATCCCAGAATGAAAGACCCTGTGCGAAATAAAGCGCAAGTCGAGCCAAGACACATTCTGTCCAAGCCAGCATGTGAGGAGGGATCAGACTGGGAGCTCCCCACCCTAGTTCAGGTGCCAGTACCCAGCTAAAGCATGCAGGAAGCAGAGTCTGCACAAGTCGCTTAACTGCACGGTGCCACTGAGTAGGGGCAAAAGTTGGGGCTAGCTACCACTTAACAGGATGCTATTGGGTCCTGGCGGCAGGGACACACGTCTTTAGTCCCAGCACTTGGGAGACAGGCTGCAGGTGGATTTCTGCAAGTTCGAGGCCAGCCTGGTCTACAGAGCGAGTTCCAGGACGGCCAGGGCTACACAGTGAAAACATGTCTTAAAAAAAGAAAAAGTGTTATTGGGATACTCTGAAGTTGTCTCTTAATACAAAATAGGAGAGAGAGGTAAAAGACTCGCTTCAAACTCAAAGAGATCCACTTGCTTCTGCCTCCCCAGGGCTGGGATGAAAGGAGTGCACCCTTGGGGCTGGAGAGATGGCTCAGAGGTTAAGAGCACTGACTGCTCTTCCAGAGGACCTGAGTTCGATTCCCAGCAACCACATGTTGGCTCACAACCATCTATAATTGAATCTGGTGCCCTCTTCTGGCATGTAGGCAGAACACTGTATATGTAATAAATAAATAAATCTTAAAAAGAAAAAGAAAAGGAGCTGGGCAGTGGTGGCGCACGCCTTTAATCCCAGCACTCGGGAGGCAGAGGCAGGCGGATCTCTGTGAGTTCGAGTCCAGGCTGGACCGACAGCCTCGAAAACAATACAGAGAAACCCTGTCTCGTAAAAACCAAAAAAAAAAAAAAAAAAAAAAAAGGAATGCACCCCACAATGGCTCTGCAGTTCTTTCTTGAGTACTGCCGCCTCTGTTGGTGGGTGTTCCCGTTGCTCCCCGTCGTGGCTGTGGTCGGTGGGGTCTCCCCTTCTTGGCTGTTCCAGGCGATGCGGTCACGGGGCTTATTAATTAGGACTTCATAACTTCTCTTACCAGGCTTTCCTCAGCCTTCCCCACCCACAGCTCCCCTCGTGGCTAAATCCAGTCCTGCTTTGTCTTGAATACCTGCTGAGACTTAGCTATCTGCTTCCCCATGACTTTGTTTCCTCTTTTTGTGCATAGGACCCCTGCGGTGTTTTGAAAGAAAATGTCCCCACACACACAAAAGGGAGTGGCACCATTAGGAGGTGTGGCCTTGTTAGAGGAAGTGCAGTCACTGCGGGGGCGGGCTTTGCGGGCTCTTCCCAAGCTTCCCTCAGTGTGACAGTCAGTCGACTTCCTGTCCTCTGCAAGATGTGGCGCTCTCAGCTCCGGCACCACATCTGCCTGCACGCCCCATGATCATAATGGACTGAACCTCTAGAACTGTAAGCGAGCCATCCCAATTAAATGTTTTCTTTATAAGAGTGAGTTCCAGGCCGGGCGTTAGTGGCGCAAGCCTTTAATCCCAGCACTTGGGAGGCAGGGGTAGGAGGATCTCAGTGAGTTTGAGGCCAGCCTGGTCTAAAGAGCGAGTTCCAGGACAGGCTCCAAAGCCACAGAGAAACCCTGTCTCAAAAAAACAAACAAACAAACAAAAAACCAAAGTGAGTTCTGGAACAGAGGAGGAGCAGCAAAGAAAGAAATCTGGCCCCTGCTGCACAGGGGTGGACTTGCATCATGTTCAGTGAGAAGTAAACCCAAGGATAAACCTGCATGATACTGTTCACAGACCTAGTCTCTGCAGTACACAAGGTCATGGAGGCAGATGTTGGGTTGGTGCCACCAGGGAGGGGCCCAAGTGAAGATCAAAGAGCTGGGGTTTTGTTTAGAAAGAAAAAGCAGCCCAATCGGTGGTGGTGCACACTGTTAATCCTGCACTCAGGAGGCAGAGGCAGGCAGACCTCTGAGTCTGAGGTCAACCTGGTCTACAAAGTGAGTCCCAGAACAGCCAGGGCTACACAGAGAAACCCTGTCTCTAAATAAATAAATAAATAAAATCTTAAAAATAAAAGTTCTGGCTGGGTGGTGGTGGCTCACACCTTTAATCCCAGTGTTTGGGAGACAGAGACAGACAGATCTCTGTGAGTTCAAGGCCAGCCTGGTCACAAACCAGAGTGAGTTCCAGAGCAACCAGGGTTACACAGAGAAACCCTGTCTCAAAAATAACAACAAACATTTATTATCATACTCCAGGCTGGAAACTGGACCGATACCTAGAGGCTATGAAGGCCCCAGTGGACTCGGGCATCTTAACCCCGCCCTCTGTCCCCTTGGTTTTAGGGACCCCTCTGTGGGTAAGTCAGCAACAACTCTGACGAGACACACCATCTTCATGGAGATCTTTAGATGTCTGCTGGTGGATGCTGTGCTGAAACCACAGACAGAGCCTACAACTGTCTTGCAGCTCTCGGGGGACATGTGACAAAGATTACACACACTAGAGCAAAGCTGTAGGAACATGCCACCACGCTCAGGCATCTTACCTGTGTTTTGCTTTGTTCCATCTTGTTTTTGAGGCAGGGTTGTACCATGTACCCCAGGCTAACCTGTCAATCACTACCCCCCCCCCCCCAGTGCTGGGATCACAAAAGGGGGTCAGTGGCACTCGGCATCATGCTTGTCTTCTTTTATGTCAGTTCTGGGACTCAAACAACCACTTTTCTAACAGCTCTCTTCCAAGCCAA